AAGACTGGAGTAATGGCTGCTTTGCCAGTGGAATAAATTACATTTTAAATGATATAAACCGAAAACAGTTAATTTAAATTGTAATATTTCACAATAGTACTGTTAAATTATATATAAATAAATACAGCCTTGGTGAACATGTTAATGTAACAAAAATGTAACATTTTTGAACAGTAGTGTACAATGTAGGGGGAGATTTGTTTAAAAATCCATTTGTTATGTTATGCAAACATGTTGTATCAGGTCATGAGGGTGAATAAATGATCTTTTAACTTTAGTGAAGTGTGAACCGAAGGCACATACTTTAGGCTTGGTGCCTAAAGGCAACAGCGATTTAAGCTAAGGTCTTCACTGTACTTTAGGTCACCTACATTCAGTGGAAAAATGTAGAAAACCTTATGTATTTCAGTTTGGCTGAGGGTTAATTACTGAACCTACTGAACTTTTATCAGTGTTAGCTTTTGTTCCAGTAATGAAACAGTGAAACAAAGCCTCTCTTTAATAGAGAGATGGATCTTTTATCAGACTTTTCAAATGACTTGGATTAAGCAAGCCATCTTTTGTCTCCCTTTGTAATACACAGACAATACCAGACAAAAAACAAGCCATGAGTCAGAGTGAAGCTGTGAATGAAATGAAGCTGTGTGGCAGTATATGTGAGACTCTTTCTCCTAAACAAAATACTTTGCTGGTTTTAGACCACCTTGAGAACTCATGAGAACTGTGCCTACGATCTTGTGACTGGCCTTTATTCATTTTGAATAGTAAATGACAAGTGTTAACAGATACAGATTTGTGGCACATTATCATTGCTAGCAAAGCTAGGTGTATTGCCTGTAAAATAAAAAAGGAAACAATGATCTCCCCTTTTGAAACCCCACACTGCCTCTGCTTTCTCAGTGCCATCAAACATGTATGGACTTGCAGTGAGGATTTACTATAAATAACAGGTAACATAGTTTTCTTTTAGCACTATACCTTTGTAGAAACATCAGTTGATGTACTTGACTCTGAATGCCACTAAAGGGGTCAGCGTTTAACATCAGCTGTCTTATTGGAAATGAGAGGCTGTCAGAGGAAAATCAACATCCATGACATTGATTGTCCTCTTGTCTATTATGAGGAGGTGAGGCGGGATAGTGAATTCAAAGACCACTGTACCACAGCTGTCAACAAAACACACACACACACACACACACACACACAGACAGACAGAGTGATACTTTCAGTCCATTTACATTGTGTTAGTGCTTTAGTGTCTAAGAGCAACAACTCTGCGTCTATTTCTGGATCTAGGTCTGGAATACCACAGATGTTAGCCGGTATAGTATGAATCCTAATAGTATGCAGCCTAATCCATGACAGACAGGTTCCTGGAAAGATGGATTTGCCGTAAAGCTGCGGACTCTACCGCCTGTCTGACTGAACAGGGGGATGTGCACTTTAAGTAAAACACACTGGAATTATGAGAGTATCTAAGCAGCAGCAGGGGAAACACGTACAGAACAACTGATATGTCTGGTAAAAAAAAAAAACAATTAACAGTTGCAGAGCATATTGCTTATTTTAGTTTACTATTTAAATGTATGTCCCATGTGTTATGCAATATAAGATTGTAAGCAGTTTTAATCTTCTGTGTTTCAGTGATGCATGTAAGAAGTGCAGGTTTTACACTATAATTCTTCAGTTGACAAGCGAGCGTTGCATCACAACACCATCTGCTGGTGTCTAGGATCATGCCTGAGTCAACATTTTCTCCGCACAATGTGTGTTGGCAGATTTTTTTATATAGTATAAGGAAAAAATTAATTATTTAAATATTAACATCTGTTTCAGTCACTGCTAGCTCTTTTTTGTGTTTTTAGTGGAGATAGATTGCTTTTAAATGTCAACTGAGAACAAATGGTTCTACTTTAGAAACAAATTGCTCAAATCATTTTATTTATTTTATATGTTGTTTTATTCTGTGGGGGAAAGGTCACCCCCTTAGGATGACTGCCATGTTGAGATCACATGACCCCCCTCAGTATCACTTCCCCTATTACAAGAAAATTAATTTTTAAATACAGAATAAATTATGAATATGCCTGCAAATTTCTCTGTATTTCTAAAGGGGCATTGGTAACCAAAAAGCTATGGGTTTTCAATGAAGGGATGCTGATCTGTTTATTTATATATTTATGCTCACAATGTTGGGCTATATTGTTAAAATTTCTTTTTTTAGGATAGTTCCTAAGAAGTTTTTTAACTAAATACCACACAAACAACTGTGATGTCGGGGCAGTAGTTTATTTATTTGGGCGATTGGTTGTACTATGTAGAGAGAAAACAGGTGCAAGGAATTGTCTTTAAAGGGGTCATATGATGCGATTTCAAGTTTTCCTTTCTCTTTGGAGTGTTACAAGCTGATTGT